GATTCTCTCACATCTATATGTTATACAGATTAGTGCTCCAACACAGACAGCACAAACTACAATATGATTGAAAGCAAGTTCCCTGGATCTCCAGAATACACAGAAGCACACTGAATAAAACCTCTTTTGTCATATTTGTATGATCTGGCATTTGATTGGATACTAATGAATTTCAGATACAAGACTTCCTAGGAGCATTCTCCTCACTGCCCACTGAAAACAGACTGATACAACTTGAAGGATTTTCTTTAAATGCTCCTCTTAAAGACCCAGAAAAAAACAGCCAGGAGCCAGGCAGTGCCCCAAAACTTTACTACGTAAGTGCAAGGCAGTTCCTTCCACATGTTTGGGACAGCTTATTTTGGCAGAATGACTCCGTGCCCAGGAGTCTTGGGGTGTCTGAGGGAAAGAACAAAAGACATTTCAGCTTCTGTGTACACCAAAACTGAAGTATCCTCCTAAAAAGATGGCTAAGCCCCTGTCAATCCAGCTTTAAACTGCTACTAAATATAGAGCCTGGACAATACACATTTTACCAGATTGCCAGTCAATACTTTATTAATTTTATGGTAAATCCTCCACATTTCTTAACAGCTAAGTGGAAGCTTGTACAGCTACAGGATTCACGTGCCTGTATACACAAGGCAGTAATTTCACCAAACACTGCTTGGCTAAGCCTAAATTATCTTGAAAAACTTTCCTGGCTGAATTTTTTTGGGGAAAAACCAAAAACCAACCAACCAACCAAAAGTATTCAAGTCAAAGTGCAGCTCACTTTTGTCTTTCAAGGTGTTGAAGACAACTGGACAATGAATAAACAAAGACCCATTACTTGGTGGTGGAGGGTATCCAGTTTGGTGGTGCAGTGCCATCACTAAGGCTAACCTTTTCTTTGGCCTTGGCTGTCATTTCTGAAACAATTACTATGGCAGCTCATGCGAGCTGATGAAGAGCCACTACAACTAAATGCCAGGAGAAAGGACAGAACTGCTTTGTGGCAAGGCTCTCTAAAAGCCCGATCACCTTTCCTGCATCCATATACATACCGGGATTTTCAGCTCAGTAGTTGAGAGCCCGTATCTCACATCCCACATTGATTGAAATCTCTTCTAATCTCTTGCACTTAAAACCACAAATACTGGTAACTGTGCCTCTGACAGCTCTTTCAAAAAAATTAAAACTAAAATAACTGATAAAGTTAGTAGCTGCAAAAATTGAAGGAAAAACTTCTCAAAACTTACATGATTTGTATCGGAATTTTAAATGTCTATGGTACATGTCTTCAGTTCCACACAAATGGGAAATTAAACTCTCCTGATAAAAACGTAAGCCTGATTTGAAAAAGATATAAAATTAAGACAACTGTTATCTATAACAACCCAGTTAAACTGGGTAACCAGGTAAAAAATAGCATAACGATGACAAAACTTTACCTCATCCTCCCCCACCTGAGGTGCTGACTTTTTATTAGCATGACTATTTTTGCCCTCTGCACTGTATCATTCAGAAAATAGACAAAAACAAAACAAAACAAAACAAACAAAAAAAAAAACCCAAAAACCAAGTTGTTCAACAAAAAGACCTTACTATTCAAAAAAACCTGCACAAAACAAACCAAAAAAAAAAGGAAACATCACAGGCCTAAGAACTTCCACGCTGGTATCACAAAGAGCACCAGCATGGACATATCTGAGGACACATGCTCCCCTCAGCCTGCTGTGGTAACTGCACTAGGTGACATAGTCAGACAAGATCTTGTAAACTAAAGGAGAATGTATTTCAATCAATGATTTCATTTAAAACAAGTTCTGAAATGGTCTCTGTGACACTGCAGGAACATATGGATAGGCATTAATGCATCTCAAACTAGCTAGAGCCAACTAGAAAAAAGCCTAAGAATACCGAGGAACATGGGAAAACTTACAGAATGGGTGAGCATAATCCTAGAGAGATTTATTTCATTTTGGACAGTCTGTCAAGGACTTGCTTTCTATCCTCCTTTCCCAATAAATTTTAAGAAATTCAAGTAAATTAACCTTGTAGGGAGACAGATTGCCTATGGAGGCTCCCTGGGCTACGCTTCCTCCATAGGGGAAAAAGAAACATCAATTACAGCAGAGTCATTTTTAAGGGCCAAACATTGCTAGGGGTGGGGGGCTGTTCAAAACATTTTGTGTGCATAATGGTTCTAACTTACAACCAATTAAGAGCTGGGCTAAGCTTTCAATGTTTGTTTACTACTACTTTTTCTCCATTTTGTTCAATGCCTTGTACACTACAGAATGTGTGCAATGTTGTGGGCTGGATTTTTGAGGGGGTGGTGTAAGTGGGTGTTGGTTGTTGGGGTATTTTTTGTTTGGTTGTGTTGGTTTTTTTCTTTTATAGTTTCTTTATGTTTATACTTCTGAAGTCTTACATGCCCCACAGTAATACCCTTCACACAGTGAACCAATGTTGGTCTAGAGGAGTATTCAGGATGCAGCTGAATCATAAGGAACTAGCTGCTCCCCGGAGCAAAACGAAGTTCCTCTTCCTAAGAATTACAGGAGATGCTGCACAGAGATCAGTTAAACTCTGCTAACAGTTAGTTATCTCGTCCTGATATCTTCACCAAACGTGTCTGGCCATGGAAAACTATTTTTATTGCATACCTGGAATGTCCCTTGCCCTGCAAACCAAAAACCAAACACAACTACAAAAAAGCTCCATATTTAGAAGCTTCCTGAATTCTCTAAAACCACCAATCAACACATTTTATGCATGCATGAGTTCAGATATGCTTTGCCTCTACCAGTCAATCCTAATCTCCCACGTTCATTTCCTTTACCTGTGAAAAGTTCATCATTTCCCCTATATATCTATTTGAAAATAATGGGAGGACACAACATCTGGTGCTTCAGTGTCATTAGCCTTGTGATTTTTGTCTCCAAGAGTTTACACTCCAAATGCAGCCTAAAGAATAAGTAATTTCCATGCTTAACATCCAGAAGACAGGAAGAGAAGGGTAGTTATATTTGAACACCGGCATGACAGGAGTTGTTTATTTTGCTGACAGTGTGCGAAGTGACCCTGTATATGAATGATCTAAGTTGAAGAAAAGTTGGTATAGAAATAGATAAACCTCTAGAAACACATTCTCTGACAGATTCCTGTCTGATCTTCCATAGAGTAACTATATGGTCCATCTCAGAACTAAACCAATCACATTCTCTAATACTTCCACTTTGTGTATTATCTTCCAGCAATTGAAAAATGGGATTAGGTGTAGAAGTCCTAGAAAATATTTTTGGAAAAGAACTATTCCACAAGTCCACTAAACAACTCTTAAGTTGAAAATGAGCTGCTCAATCAACATGTTTTTCAGTGGCGTATGTTGAACTGTCTATATAGAGTCAAATTTACTTACATCACCTATATGCTCTTAATCCTCTTGCATCCAGTAACAAAGATGTACCTGTCTTTTAACCATTTTAATAAGTTTTGGCTTAGTATGTTTATTATGGAAGAACACAGTGACTGACAAGTGGTCCTTTATGCTCTTAGCTCATTCTTCGCTTCCCCTACATGTCTTTGGTGATTAAGTGCATCTTTCAGCAATATGCAGACTTTACTTACCACATGAATGCAGCACTTTTTGCCTCTTCACATGGATAAGTTGCTTAACACTCAGTAACTATATGTGTATGGGGGGGAATGACGACATGGACCTGAACAGCGGCATCATACAAGCAGTAAGGGAGTTATGACCATGACAGCATTTAGAAAGATATCATAAAATTGAAACACAAATGTGTAAATAAAAAAACAAGAGCCAGTTAAAGGAAGTGGAAACTGTTCTAAGATAGGCATTTTCCACAACGAGACCTCCTCAACTCCCCAGCAGATTTGCTGGAACCTTCTCCTCCAACTTCCCAACAGCATCAGTTGCTCTTGCAATACGAAAGTAGTATAAAAATAGAAGCCTTTTAAATTACAAAACCTTAAGACAGATACTTCCCGAGTATTAAAGTAGTCAAATATGATACAGTTCCCTCCATAGACATGTAAAAAATGTGAACAGAGTAACGCATAAATCATGTAAGCTTAGATTAAAATACCTAATTAAATCCTCCTGTGGTTTTTTTTTTTTTCTTTTTTTCTTCATACTACATGTATTTAAATACTGTGTGCAAACCTGAGGGGATATCTACTGTTCAGTGGCTGCTAACTCTGCGGCTAGCCACTGGGCTTAGTGCATGACGCATCTCAAACTGAAGAGATCCAGAGAACATCTAAAATTAACAAGCACCTTAATCTAAACACTGGGTATTTTAACAGGAGAGAGTATTTCCACTTTGCAAAGGCAATACCCATTCAAGGGAAAAAATTCATTTCAGAGTCAGTTCATTTCATTCTCACTTCTATGTTCACAGAAGACTTGATTACACACATGGATATTATTTCCTGTTCCAGGTTATCTGCAATTTGAATATACAGTACTCATGCTTAATGAATTAATTAATTCAGGGCAAGCCTGTACTTGGTTACACATGTTAAAAGTCCTCTCACTGTAAAAGTGCACCTACATTATTCAGCCATTCAATTTAAATTAATCATTGTTGTAGTAAAAAGTCTGTATTTTAACCAGAAAAATTGAACATTTTCAGTATTTAAGGCATTAAAAATAAAATTCCAAAATATACCTAACAGTTCATTCAAATACATGTTTCCTAAAACCACGTTCTCAAATATACCAAGATTGTATCCTTATTAATACATTTATGCTAGTAAAGGATTAGATATCCTGATTTCTCCAGAAAGATGAACACTATACAAAAAAAATACAACAGTATTGTTTTCTGTACAGTGATCCTTCAAGAATCAGCAGATTTGTTGGCACCTTCTCCTTCAGCTTCCTGATAAGATCAATTTCCTTTGCAATGAGAAGCAAGTGTAAATTTCAAGAAAGCCACATTCAGTGAAATTAGACATCTGTGTTTTTCTTTCATTCTTATACATACCTGATCGGGATGATATAGGAAAACAGGAGGAGGAACCGGAAAAGGTTACGATACCATGGGCCTACAAATCCTTGCAAGGTTACCATAACAACTGATAGCGCAACTAAAGCCAAAAACAGGGCTTTGGTCAGTTGATTCAACTCCAGGTCCAGCAAGCCAACCTAGAGGAAGAATTATAAATCAAGTTAGTCATGATTTTTTCTTAAATTGACACTTTCACGGTGCAAACAATTAGCTGCTATTGGCTTTCTTATTCCGACGTATTAAAAATCCATGCACTTGTAACAATTAACTGCATTTTGATAACTGAATTGATTATTGTTCCTATGCTTGCATGCTGTAGATGTTCCCTGGTTACAGGAAAATAACTATTCCTAGAACCAATGTGAACTGTCCCAGCCAGGCCTCTGGAACGCCTCTATGTCTGACACTTCCCTCCCCCTATCCCCTGATCCAGGATAGGAACACAGGAGGGCAAGGAGAAAAGACAATTAAAGATGAACAAATGAGCAGGAACAATTTTCTTCTGTCATGCATACAGCAAAAATACTGGCACTGTACATTATATTTGTAGGGCAGCTACTGCTCATTTACTGCTAGAACATCAAAAACCTGTCAGATTTGAGAATCAACAGACAAATGCGACAGAGCTACCTTCTCATTCATATAACTAGTGTACTGTAACTTGTAACTATACTCGCATACTGGTCTGTATATCTGAATTAATTTCATAGAAATAATTTTTAATTGTATGAAGCTTTCAGTTATTCCATATAATAATAGAAAAAAATCAAGTGGAATATCCATTTTCAAACCAAAACAGTAAAACAGAGCTTCAACTTCTCATGAGTAGAAAGGTATTCGATTTGGAAGCATTTTAGCAAAAGCATTAAGAGAGGCTATCTTTGATCCACCATTTCTCATGAAAAAATATTTTTAAGCTATGTAACTAAGACTCTCACCATTTCAGTAATGTACACTGTAAGCTAAGTATTTATACTCCATTTTTTGGGATGCTCTTCTAGTCAGTAAAATATGTGGGAAAATTATGTCAGGAAGAGTTTCCTAGGCCCTGTCACAGATGCCCCTTTTATCTCCAAGCCTTGCCAGTAAGACCAGTAAAACATAACACTTCCTTAGATAACAGTCTGCAAAAGAACCACTTTAAATATAGTTCTTAAAAATTCCAGCAATCTTGCTTACACATGGGCTGCCCCTTCCCTAGAGAACCAGGCAGCTGAAGACCACAGCGGCTGATTTATCAGCTGCATTTAAAAAGCAGCACAACGAGGACAAATATCTTGCAATTTCCGCTGCTTCAACTACTACATAGTTTATGCTTGAATTATTGAGAAAAATAGGTTTTTGGATTAAAATGAAGAAAAATTAAGCCAGGGAAGTAGAGCATGTTTCAAAGCCCAGATCTTTTTGCATTGACAAAGGCAGCCTAAGTTTCAGGCCTCGCTGAGGATCAGATGAAGTCATTATTCATTCAGTCAGGGAAAAAAGACTCAATTACCTCAACCTAAAGATGCTATCAATGAATGCAAAGTGCATATTTTACTCTATTCATCCAAATCCCATTAAAAAGTGAAAGGAATGACTTAATCTGGCCTTCTAGAGTTGGTCTTTTTTTGTAATAAAATAAAGAATCACTGTCTTGCAATATGCATAACCGCTACCTCACACTTTTTTTTTCCTGCATCATGGTAGTGAAAGCCTATCTCTCCCCTCAGCTCCCCCCTCCACCCCCCGTAAAAACCCCACCCCAGAACAGAAATGAATAAAGAGCTTCTTTGGAAAGAATGCCACTTTTTGGACAGAAACATTAAATTTAGTCCACTGCACACTGATACGTAGCTAATTCAAAGCATTAATACCTTTCTAATTGATGAAGACAGATGTGAATTTAAGTTTGGAAACCAACAAAAACGTGTTTGGAGAGATATTAAGAGAATAACAAAGTTGATGGTGAAAAATTTTCACACAATAAATCTCTTACTCAAGAACATTTAGTTTGTTACTTAATAATGTCATCTTTCTTAATACAGATCATACTATTGGCCATAGTCAATTTTAATATTTTCATTTACTCTAGGAAGTGAAGGTAATTGCAAAACCCTACTTCAGAAGGCACAAAAAGAAAGTTTTAATAGAAATGCATTGTCCATTTCTCAAAAATTAGTTACTATAATGTACTGAAATATACTTAATTAGTTTAATTCTGTGCCTTTCCACTTAAACAATTTCTGCACTCAAAATAATGAAACACTGTTGAATTATCCAGATACACTTCATGTAGGAATTCACTAACATTCTCTAAAATTCATCTGACTATTGGAAAACTGGGTAAACTTCATTTTAACTACATTGTGATTTTATCAAAGCATTTGTAAAATGTATATACCATCTTAGGAAAGCGATTTCTTTCCTTTTGAAAATAATCATAACCAGAATAACTATGACAATGTAAGAACCAGATCAGTTAAGAATTGGAGTAATTTTCCACATTTACTGCTATTTCCCATATTAGATAAGCATATTTTCTTATACTTGTCATAATATTTGTTCTATTTGAAACAACTGTATTAACAAAATTAAACACACGACTGGAAATTTTAAATCTCCAAGGGAAAATTCGTACATAATGTCTAAGACAGCCACAACAGTTTTGCAAAGGGGCTGCTCTACGATAATGAACACAATAATTGCCTGTATAATCTAAAATGCTACTAATGGCAACAACTGCAAATCCATTTAGCTCCTCTTTAATTTATGCACGAAGTTTTAAATAGCTAATGGTTCTCAGTAAAATAATGGCTTATACCATCAATAAAAAGTATGACACTGTCTACTTGCACCAAAAAAAGCCTACAAGTTTTTAAAATACTTTATTTTTGAATGAGGGAATGATTAAATGTCTAAACTTCACATTTTGGACCACAAGGTATTAGTCCTTATCTTATGAGAAAAATCTTAATTTAATTAGGAAAAGTTGAAAGCAACAAAAAACCTTTCTGACTACTGAAGTAGAACATGAACAGCCATATTGCTATTGCTGCCCTTAGATGCTTAACTTTTGGGAAAGGTTATCCTCTGAAGCTATTATTGCAGTAATAGAACAATTCTTCTAACATTATAAAATGTATATTACTTGGAAAATGAGAAAAATTTTTTTATGCTAGAATATTGAAGTGCAAAATTTGATAATTAAATGTTGCACAATGGTAAAGATTTCTCTCGAAATAGTCTAGTGCAGTCATTTTTTATTGAATTACAGTTTAAAATGCATTAGAAATAATTGCTCATAAATAGCCTTTTTTAAGGACCCTACTTCAATCCTGTCGAAGTATTAAGGCACTATCTTAGGAGAGACTTCCCCCTGCAACCATATTCCTCCATGAAGGTAATTATATTTCAGTAATCAGTCTGGTTCTGCACTGACAAACACCATACTGACTACAGTGAAATTTCATGGTATTTATGTTTGAGACAGACTTTGGCTTTAATTTGCACCATAAACATAAAAATTTTCTTTCCTGTTCTTAATACATGCTCTGAACTTAACTTTGTTAAACCTTGAATACTAGTCAATTATTCATGCTTTCATTAATTCTAGTCTAAACTTAGATGTAACAGCTATGCAAAGAGTCAGGGAAATATTTAAAATTACTAAAATCCAAATAATATATCTTTCTTCTTTGGGCTGACAAAAACAAGCTTCGCCTAAGAAAAATGATTCATAGCATTTCATCATTTATAAAAAAATAATTTTTATATAGACTACTATATACAGTTAGCTGCATATATCTGAACCTCTATGGCTTTCTTCAATAATTTATTAAATTTATTAAATAATAATTTATTAAAACTTTCTAGTCCCTAGAAATAATAGATTATTAATCTGTATTTAAAGGCTAAATAGAGAATCATTATCTGTTTACCTTAATCTTTGACACTGAAAACACATACAGCACCTCTGGAATCTGTAAATGTTTCTCCTTTGTTAAGTCTCCTAATTCTAATGTTATTCCTATGATTCACATTCTTGACCGCTCAGCAATCTAGGTAACCACATTAAGCTAATATAACTATGAATCAAAACAAGCAAAGCAACTGAATTCAAGTTCATGAAGCATCTTTCCTTAGTTCACTGTACTCAAGTAATGGTCTGACAAATGTTTCCAAAACTTAACATAAAACCCAGGAAATCTTGCATACAGTATGTAACACTTTTTAATCAATATCTTACTCATTCTTTTAAGCAGTAGATTCAAAGGTAGGAAAAGCGAAGAAAACGCTGAAATACATAAAGTGATCATTTAGTGAAAAAAGTCACCTATCCGTGCTTTTTCACAGACCCATTTTCAAACTTCCCAATCACTTGTCTAGCTGTGAGAGCAACAATGACAAACCTTGAAAACATTTTCTGAAGCACTAAAAACCTATTACAAGTTTTATTCATTTTAGAATTAGAGCAATAATCATGGTGGTGTGTGTGGGGGTTCTACTTGACTTAGTAAAACTGAAATAAACTTCAGTTATTTAGTCCACTCCAGTGGAGATAAACAAAAGTAGTAATGAGAAAATAGTCCAATTGATTCCAGTAACATTTTCTGTATTCCCTTTGGCAAAAAAAAGTATGCATCCTTCATGCTACCTTTAATGCAATGCAACATCACTTTGACCAAACTGAAATATTTGGCATTATGTTAATATTGCAGGTTTATGGAACTGAATTATGTTTATTCTACACTGATTTCAAGAAACATTTTTAGATATTAGCATTAATTGTATCCCCAAAGAAACAAATTACAATTACTTTTCTGTATTCTTACAAAAACCAGCCCACATCCAACAGATAGGCATTTAAAACAGTAGAAATATTTTGAAACTCGAGAAGAAATACATGGTGATCATCCAAAGGAAAAAGAGTAAGCTGCAAGTAGATCATGTTTTTTGGAACTTTTTGATTTGTATTCAACAACAGAGGTTTAAATACTCTTAAAAGCAAAATAAGTTTATTACATTTTGAAATTATCCTTCTGACTTGCCTGGTTTTACTTTAACAAGCTATTCATAACTGCATATCTATGTTTGAAATAAACAAATCGCTTCAGAAACAAAAATCCCTTTTGTAGCTAGTAATACCTACCATGCT